ACCCCTGCCCTCAGTGAGACCAGACATCCCCCCTGCAGACACACCACTCAAAGTCAACACCAACCCTCCCACGAAAGCGGAAATCCTAAAAGCCTTGAAGATCTTAAAAAATGGGAAAGCAGCCGGCCCAGATGGAATTCCCCCAGAGGCGCTCAAGGCAGACCTTCCAACCACAGCCAACGTGCTGCTACCTCTACTGCAGAAGGTTTGGAGGGAAGGAAGAGTACCAGCAGACTGGAAAAAAGGGCACATGGCAAAACTTCCCAAGAAAGAAGACCTAGGATCCTGCAAGAACTGGTGCGGCATCATGCTACTGTCAGTACTGAGCAAAGTACTAACCCGCATTATCCTTGACCGGCTGAAAGATGCAGTGGAAGAAAAACTTAGACCAGAACAAGCCGGCTTTAGGAAAGACAAGTCATGTACAGATCAGATAGCAACACTCCGAATTATCATCGAACAATCCTTGGACTGGCAGTCAACGCTGTACCTTAACTTCATCGACTTTCGTCAACCGTTCGATAGTGTGGACAGGGAAACTATCTGGCAGCTCCTCCATCACTATGGAATCCCTCAAAGTTTCATCACCCTGATCCAGCAACTTTATGAAGGCGCCACATGCCAAATTATCCATAATGGCAAATTGACAGAGGAGTTTGAGGTGAGAACAGGAGTCCGACAAGGATGCATGCTCTCCCCAATGATCTTCCTGTTAGTGGTCGACTAGGTGATGCATCAGACAATTAAAACAGGAAAAACCGGAATCCAGTGGTCCCTGACTCAATTCCTTGAAGACCTGGACTTTGCGAACGACTTGTGCCTGATGTCCCAGAAAAGCCAACATATGCACCAGAAAACCGATAGCCTAGCCCAAGAAGCATCCAAGACTGGACTGCGGATCAACCTAGAGAAGACTAAAATCATGACCCTGTTAAAAAAGCAGCAGAAGCCAATCACCCTTGGAGACAGCGAGCTGGAAGAAGTCACCTCTTTCACCTACCTGGGCAGCATTGTATCAGCATCAGGTGGTTCTGACAAGGACAACAAAGCCAGAATCAGGAAAGCTAAACACGTCTTTATTACCCTGAGACCAGTCTGGAGGTCAACATCCCTATCTGTCCGCAACAAAATACGAATTTTCAACAGCAACGTTAAGTCTGTCCTTCT